GAATCCAACTGATTTTTGTATGTTTATCTTGTATCCTGCTACTTTGCTGAATCTTTCTATTAGTTCCAGTAGTTTTCTTGTGGAGTCTTTAGGGTTTTCTAGGTATAGTATCATATCATCTGCAAACAGGGACAGTTTAACTTCTTCATTACCAATTTGGATACCCTTTATTTCTTTTTCTTGCCTTACTGCTATAGCTAGAACTTCCAGGACAATGTTAAATAGGAGTGGTGATAAAGGGTATCCTTGTGAAACAGACATTTTAAAATAATTTCCCAAAACAAAAATAAATTCAGTGAGATAGTAGAATTGTTTGACAATTTTGCAAATCTTTTGAATTCTGCCTTACTAGAAGACAGCTAAATTGTCAGACCTGCCTCTGCATTTGATCTGTTGCGTAGTACACATCTTAGCATCTGGAAAACTCCACTGTAAACTTGTGAGAGCATGAGAGTGAAACAGGCAAGTAATGTTTTATTGTTATTATGAAAAGAGTTTTGTTCTGGCAGACCCCCTGAGAGGGTCTCATGGAGCCCCAGGGGTCCTGGACCACGCTTTGAAAACTGTCCGTTCTCAAAAAACAAAACAGTTGCCTTGATTCCAATCCAACTCATGGGAAGAAAAGCCTGGTGATCTACCATTGAAAACACTATGGAACACAGTTTTACTCTGACATGGGATTGCCAAAGGGTGGTCCATAAACCACCTGCAATGAGAATCACCTCGGAGTCCTGGTAAAATACATATTTTCTGGCCTATCCCAGACCCTTGGAACCAGAATTCACATTTAACAAGCTTCCCAGATGATTCCTTGCACTCAGGAGTTTAGGAACACTGGGTTGGGAGAGCTCTATGTTTCCTGCCAGCGAAGTTCATCTAAAATTACAGAGTCACCTTCTTTGGCAGACCTGGGATTAGAACCCCAGTCTAAGTTCAAGGCTTTTCCCACTGCATTCACTGGAGCATTCAGCGCTTTTACCACTGCACCCACTGGAGCAGCCTCACTTTTTTATGACTTTCCTGGCTCTATCCTTGCCATCTCCCCATTCCCTTCTTCCTCCATCCAGGGCAGAGCCGAGGGATATGGGGAACATCCAGGCCCCTTGCTCTATAAGGAGCCCTTGTGGCACAGCAAGGTTAAGTGTTTGGCTGCTAACCAGAGAAGAAAGATGTGGCAGTAAGCTTCTGTAAAGATCACAACCTTGGAAACCCTATAGGGCAGTTCTACTCTGTCGTATAGGGTCGCTATGAGTCAGAATCGACTCCATGGCAATGTTTTTTTTTTTAGGTTTCTATATATATTTAATGTATACACAACTTCCAATACATTGAAGATATTACAACAGTATCTGTTAAAGTCTATACTATGAACTGTGCAAATGGTGTGATGGAAATAGCATTGGCCTGAGTTAGGCGACCTAGGGTTGAATCAGTCAGCCATAGCTAGGCCACTAAGTAGCTGTGTGTCTCTTGTAATTAAACAAAATCTTGTGAGAAAGATACTGTGTTGGATGATATGAAGCATTTACTGAAAACCAAGAAATTTTAAAACGTCTTGTAGAATCTAAGCCTTGTTCACAAGCAACCGTTGACGGTGGCAGGCAGAGTTAAGTTCTGTAAAGGTCAAGATGCGTCGGGAAAAAGTAGGGGAATTTTGACAGCTTTGTATATCGAACGAACGGCCTCATCACACTTCAACAAATACAGTTACTGTCCACTCGCTTTCTGCGCCACACAGGATAGTTGTGAGAGTGAATGTTTCCTGGCACCCATTAGATGTGCCTACACACCAGAATGAGTAAACTTGGTCCCTGCCCCGGAATCGAGAGATGTGGACACATGAACCCCACAAAACATGGAGGGATGGGAAGAAGGAGTGACGGAGACTCGGGGAAAAGGCGTGCACGTGTCTGGTACACTGTAAAGCGCGACATAATGTGAGTTACCATCATTACGGCTGCGCCAAACGCAAGGCTCCTGCGAGCCAAGGCGTACTCGTGGAAGCAGCGCAACAGGCGGCCGAGTCCCACGCTTCTGTCGCCGCTCGGCGTCCCGGAGCAGAGCCTTGTGCTCGGACGGGGAGCCCAGGCAGAACTCACGTCCTCTCCTCGCGGCAGGGCCACGGAAGACCGCCTCAGCCAGCCGGAACTACCACGCCCCAAGTCCGCTCTGGGCAAGGTCCTCGATGTACTCGGCGCTCTACTGATCCGGCCCCGGGAGTGGGCGGGCCCGTTTGCCCTCAGGTGGTCTAACAGGCGCTGGAGTTGACCAATGCCTTCGCTACAACCCTCTGGCCTTTCCTCCTGATTGGCCAGCGGAAAAAAGGCCGGGCAGTGAGCGGCCGCAGCCTCTTGGTGCGAGCCGCAGCTACGCTTAAAGCGTTCTTCGTCCGCGAGTTGCAGGCTTCTGTGCTTGGCTTTACTTAGGTTCTCCTCCGTTCGCCACCGCCGCTGTCAGTATGGCCGAGTGAGTGACCTGCCTGCGAGGGCCGGGGCGGGGAGCCGGGTGGGACTTTCGGCCCTCAGGGAACTTCCTGAGGCTGGGCTCTTGCAGGTTCTCTCTGGCTCCGAGGACGGACCCGCCCTCTGGCGTCTCCTCTGCCCCTCAAGGGTCTCCTGACCCCGGCCTCGTGGGACCCAGAGCTCCAGGGTTCAGCTTTCTTCGCCCCAGTCTGTGGAACCCATGATCCCGAGCCCAGCCCCTACCCCTCTTGGGGACGGAGACTCTGGACGTGTCCCCCTGCCTGGGAAGGGTCAGGAGGGGGAAGCGGAGAGGCGCTGCCGAGGAAACCCAGAAGGAGCCGGACTCGACCTTCCCACCCCGAGGAGGAGCTGGGGCGGACTCTCCGTCTGCTGGCGAAGCCTGGCGGCCGGAGCAGAGTCGCCGACAATTACGCTCCTTCCGCTGCGGGGTTCACCCGCCGTGGGGGAGATGGGGGCATCTATTGTAAAAAAAATAGTGACCAGATAGAACACAAGAAGAGATGACACGCTATGAATGACTTTCTAAGTGTAGGTTTAGTTCATAGCAATAGAACTTCGAGTTCCTGGAAGTGGCGGAGTGGGGTAGTTTATAGTTTCATGGAAGGGTCCGTTACCTGGGTTCTAAGTTGTATCATGGAGTAGGAGAATAGAAGAAAACTTAAGAGAAATGATTCAAACTGTCAAGAGCTAGAATGTTCTGGGTTCCTGAGTTGGACCGGTTAAGTGGTACTGACACATTTTTCTTTGTTCTTTTCTCCCTGTCTTTCAGAGCTGATATTGCACTGATTGGATTGGCTGTCATGGGCCAGAACTTAATTTTGAACATGAATGACCACGGCTTTGTGGTAAGTCATGGAGACACAGTGTCTTCTCTAACGGGTTCTTGGTGTGCAATAGCTGGAGTGCTGGTGGTTCGGCTGGTTTCAAAGATCTCATATAATCTGGAACATCTTTTTTCTACATATACCCTGTTACTGCTTAGGAAATAAAGGAAGGAGAAACACTTTTACGTATAGGAGGGCCAACTCTCTGCAGTTCTGAGGAAGAAGAGGCTTGCTGAATGTATTTGTCAGTTCTGGAAGGTTTGCAGCTTGAATAAAGTGGGAGTGTCTTAAGTAGAGGAAGGAGCCCTGGTGGCGCTGTGGTTAAGTGCTCGGCTGCTAACCACAGGGTTGGCAGTTTGAACCCCCCTCCACCACTCCACTGGAGAAGAATGTGGCAGTCCACTTCTGTAAAGACTGCAGCCTTGGAAACTCTATGGGGCAGTTCTACTGTCCTGTAGGGTCGCTGTGAGTCAGAATTGACTTGGTGGCAATGAGTTTGATTTTTTTGGTCTTAAGTAGAGAGAAATGATGAAGGAGAAGAGATCCTGCTGGGTCTGCAGAACTTTGAACTTTATTGCCTAGTGAGATAAGAGGAGTGGAAGATTTTTGTGTGTAAATACTCTGTTGGTTTAGATGTAAGCATATCAGTGACTAGTGACAGAAGGCAGAACTCCTTGTGGAACTGGCTGGCTTCTAGGTCTGATTCTGAATCCCAGTTAGTAACAGACTTTAGTCTAATATGCTGAGGGCAGTTGACCTTTGCTTTATATTCCGTTCCCTGCCATTTCATTCTACTGAGGTGGCTTAACTTGATGGTGTTCAGCCAGCACTTGAATAGTTTTGGTAATAAGGAAGAGGGAGAAAGCAGGGTTTGACCTTCCCCAAACCTTGGGCCAAATGGAAATTTCATTGTCACTTGGTCCACAGTCTTAAGGTCTCGTACGTCCTAGATCCCCTAATTAGGCCTCTTGTTCTTTTAGGTCTGTGCTTTTAACAGGACAGTCTCCAAAGTTGATGATTTCTTGGCCAGTGAGGCAAAGGGAACCAAAGTGGTTGGTGCTCACTCCTTGAAGGAGATGGTCTCCAAGCTGAAGAAGCCTCGGAGGATCATACTTCTCGTGAAGGCTGGTCAAGCTGTTGATGATTTCATTGAAAAACTGGTGAGGCCAGCTCTGCTCCCCACTGCTTCTAGTGTGACAGAGCTTTTCCCTTTCCTTCTTTTAGCTTTTTCCCTTCTTTCACTTCAGAGATCTTCTCCCCTACTTCTGGAAGTCAACTGCTCAGTACAGCAAAATGATTGCTTAAATGTTTCAATGTTGCTTAACTTAACTGGCAGTAATTAAGTACTCCATATCCTTAGGTGGTGATAATTCTTCGTATATAATATTCTGAGAATATTAGGAGAAATTTTTTTAAGAATTCATTAACAACAAGAATAGGAACAATAGTAATTACATGAGCTCTTTATCTTTGTTATTGTAAACATCTTACAGCTTTGGTAGTGTACTGTTTATTTATGAACATTTAGTGATACCCACTAATAACCTTAAAGTGCCCAAATTTAAGAAATTATTTCATTTTTTCTCAGTATTTCTATAAAACAACAGTTCTCAAGTAGTCGTGTAATTTAAGGGACAAATCCCCTTAGAGAATCCTGGGAACTACAAACTGATGGGTCCTTATTTTCATACCAAACAATTTGTTTGTTCTAAAAAGTATATCTTAGGTGGGGCCAAGATAGCGGAGTAGTCAGATGCTTCCTGTGGTCCCTCTTACACCAAGACCCGAAAAAACAGGTAAATCGATCATACATGACAATCTAGGAGCCCTGAACATTGAAGGCAAAGTTGAGGAATTGGACTGAGTGGCAGGGGGAGGGAGAGACGGTTCAGAAGCAGCGGGGAGTTGCTAGACATGACCAGGCGAGAGCCGGCACCCTGCGGGCTGGATCTGCTGGCATACACGGTGAGGTGAGCAGTGGCATTTGGGACGCGTTTTCCACGTTGGGAGAGACCGAGTGGCGTAGAGTCTGCTCAGGCCTCCAGAGCCACTGAAAGGTGGAGCTCAATCGACAGAAGATAAGTACACGTGTTTAACCTACCGCACAGATCAAAAAATACCACGTTTGGGGAGAACTTCTCTCCCATTTGCCTGTTCCCTCCCCACTCTGCACCGGTCTCGGGCTGGCTTCAGCGATTGCCGCATGCCCTGGGCCAGAAGCAGGACCTGTCACGCGCCCTGAGCCATTCTCTCAGGGTTGGAGAGGGAACAAATTAACAAACAGAAAAAAATAATCTGTCAGTTTCTCTAAGCCGGGAGTTCAGGGCAGGCACAGCTTCTCTGCCTAGCCACAAGGAATAAGGGGTCCACAGACTTTGAATGCCTTTCACCGTTCATAGACCTGTGTGGGCCCATTTCAACAGCGTAGGCCCTTGTTAGCACAGTACAACAGGGTATCTTCCTGAAGCGTAACTTCAACTGTATCAGCTATATGGTGGAGTGGCAGGTTCGTGACATTTGATACCGCTCTGCCCATTAAGCAGGGTCCTCACCTACCCACATCAGGGGCCTGAGAGCTGGTGGCTCCACCCACACCACCTAGCCACCTGCAACAGGGGTCCAAGAATAAGTGGTGCCTCCCAGTCCTTACAGCCAGCAGTGTTGGATGCCCGCAGTCCAGCTGCAAAACCCACCCACCTAGGCACTGTAGGGAACAGGGATATGCTTTTGTCCCAGACACTCAGGGGCAGCCATCAGCCCCCTGTCTTGGTCAACGTATGACCCCCCACTGTAGCCAGATACCTGTGCCTACTCCATTCACCCCTGCCCATCTAGGACTGTGGGTGAGAGCTGGCACCACACACTTGGTGACTGACTATGTGGACACTTGAGCTGAATCCATATAGGAAAAGTAAATAGACTTCTGGGCTTACATACACAGTAACAGATCTGAACACGTGGTGACAGGACGTTAGAGCTTCAGAGGCACCAATAATCAAACTAGCTCACATGAGCAGCCTATTTGGGCATATCAAAACAAAATAAGCTAGGACACAGTAAGCAGATACAAAATAAATAAATAACTTACTGATGGCTTGGAGACAACAGTCAGTATCAGATCACATAAAGAGGCAGACCATAATGGCTTCAGCAAGCTCCCAAAACAAAGAATCAAGAAATTTCCCAGAGGAAAAGAACTTCCTGGAATTACTGGAGGTAGAATACAACAGATTAATAACAGAAGTTTTTAAGAGATCAGGCAAAACACAGAACAAGCCAAGGAACACACAGACAAAGCAATAGAGGAACTTTAGAAAGAAGAGTGCAATGACAGATTTAACAGGCTGCAAGAATCCATAGAGAGACAGCAGACAAATTCAGAAGATTCACAATAAAATTTCAGAATTAGACAACGCAATAGAAAGTCATAGGAGCAGAATTGAGGGAATGGAAGTCAGAATTAGTGAGATTGAAAATAAAGCACTTGACACCAACTTATTTGAGGAAAAATCAGATAAAAGAATTTAAAAAACAAAGAAACAAGAATTACGTGGGACTCTTAACGAGGAATAATGTACGAGTGACTGGAGTACCAGAACAGGGGAGGAATAACAGAAAATACAGAGAGAATTGTTGAAGATTTGTTGGCAGAAAACTTCCCTGATACCGTGAAAGATGAGATTATCATCTATCCAAGATGCTCATTGAACCCCACACAAGGTAGATCCCCCAAAAAAGTCACCAAGACATATTATAATCAAACTTGCCAAAACCAAAGATAAAGAGAATTTTAAGAGAGGCTAGGGATAAATGAAAATTCACCTACAAAGGAGAGTCAATAAGAATAAGCTTGGACTACTCAGCAGAAACCATGCAGGCAAGAAGGCAATGAGATGACATATATAAAGCCTTAAAGGGGAAAAAAAATGCCAGCTAAGAATTATATATCCAGCAAAACTGTCTCTCAAGTGTGGTGGCGAAATTAGGGAATTTCCAGATAAACAGAAGTTTAGGGAATTTGTAAAAACCAAACCAGAATTAGAAGAAACACTAAAGGGAGTCCTCCGGTTAGAAAATCAATAACATCAGCTAACAGCCCAAGATTAGAACACAGGACAGAGCAACCAGATTTAAACCCAGATAGGGAAGTGACAAAAATCAAAGCTAAAACGCTGAAAGTAGGGAAACAGAGAAGTCAATATGTAAAAGACGACAACATTAAAACCGAGGGACTAAAAAATGTAGTCAGATCTTTTATACGGAGAGGAAGTCAGGGTGATACAAAGAATAAAAGATTGGTTTAAGCTTTGAAAAACAGGAGTAAATATTAAGGTAACCACAAAGGAAACTAACAATTTTACACATCAAAATAAAAGACAAGAAAACCATAAAGACTCAGCAAATACAGAATCAACAACAATGAAAAAGATGAAAAGGAAATACATCCTAAGAAAAATGACTCAGCACAGAAAATTAAGTGAAACAAAAAAATTGTCAACACACACACAAAAAAAGACGTCAAAATGACAGCACTAAACTCATACCTATCAATAATTATGCTGAATGTATATGGACTGAAGGTACCAATAGAGAGAGAGTGGCAGAATGGATAAAAAACATGCTCCGTCTATATGCTGTCTGTAAGAGACATACCTTAGACTTAAAGACACAAACTAAAACTCAAAGGATGGAAGAAAATATATCAAGCAAACAACAATCAAAAAAGAGCAGGAGTAGCAGTATTAATTTCTGACAAAATAGACTTTAAAGTAAAAGCCCCACAAAGGCTGAGGAAGGACACTAGATAATGATTAAAGGGTCAGTACACCAGGAGAACATAACCATAGTAAATATTTACGCACCCAACAACAGGGCTAGAAAGTGCATAACCTCTTAACAGCATTGAAAAGAGAGACCATTCCACAATAATAGTAGGAGACTTCAACACATCACTTTTGGTGAAGGACACAACATCCAAAAAGAAACTCAATAATAGACACGTACAGAACATTCCACCCACCAGTATACTTTCTTTTCCAGCGTGCACGGAACATTCTCCAGAATAAAACGCATATTAGGCCATAAAGCAAGCCTTAATAGAGTCCAAAGCATCGAAATATTACAAAGCATCTTTTCTGACCATAAAGCCATAAAAGTGGAAATCAATAACAGGAAAAGCAAGGGTAAAAAATCAAACACATGGCAACTGAGTAACACCTTGTTCAAAAACTACCGGGTTATAGAGGAAATTAAAGACAGAATAAAGAAATACACAGAATCAAATAAGAATGAAAACGCATCCTACCAGAATCTTTGGGACACAGCAAAAGCAGTGCTCAGTCAGTTTATAGCAGTAAGTGCACACATCCAAAAAGAAGAAAGGGCCAAAATCAAAATGTTAACCCTACAACTTGAACAAATAGAGGGCAGCAAAAGAGGCCCGTGGGAGGGACCTCATACCACCAAGAAAGAAGCACCGGGAGCAGAGCACGTCCTTTGGACCTGAGGTTCCTGCGCAGACAAGCTTCTGGTTTGGGGGAAGACTGATGATGACGAGGACCTTCTTCCAGAATCAACAGAGAAAGCCTTCCCCTGGAGCTGACGACCTGAATTTGGACTTTTGTCTTAGTCATCTAGTGGTTCTCCAACAGGTACCTAAAATGTGGAAGCCATTTTGAAACTGTGAATGGATAGAGGAGCGGCAATGGCAGAGGACCAGCAACAGCAGAGAAGTGGCAGTGGCAGAGAACCAACAGCAGCAGAACCAGGAGACCAACGTGAGATGGAGCTGGAGCCAACCCACGGAGTGAGATATTTGAGTGTCTTCTGTGTGGGTGGCTTCCTGGCGGAGTGGGGGGCCTCTGGGCACTTACTGGTGGAGCTAGGCTTGCCAACCCATGGAGCAAGGGAGCTGAGCGCCTGTGCACAGGAGGCTTTCTGGTGGAGTGGGGTGCCTTCGGGCACTTACCGGTGGAGCTGCAGAGCTTTGGAACACTTGCCCCAGGAGGGCAAATGCAGGCGTGTTGAGCCCGAAGGGCTGAGAGGCCACAGGAAACAGAAGCAGAAGCTGAAGAGACAAGAAACACAGAAGTCAAGCTGCCTCAGTCTCAAAAGGTATGTCCATGACCTCTGGGGTTTCAAAGGGTGGAGCCATGGCCTC